TGAACAGACGAGCATGATATCGGCCAGTATCTCTAGCTGCCGAATTCTTCAGTATACGGGAATACATTTCAGATAAGTCCCGTGGAAGCGATTTGATTGCAAGCCGTATGGAGTGGTCAGAGAGCTCCAAGCATATTTGGTCCAGTTGCAGAGCAACCCAGAGAAACCTATTTAGACGAATTGTGAGCTCAAATGAATACGGACACAGAATATCGTTCAACTTACATGCCGTTGGCGCCGCTTAAAAGAGCTACGCGTATTTCAGATACGAGACTGTAATCTCCAACTTTCAGTTGGCCATTAGCTAGGCGCGCCTCTAGCTCGCTATCGATGTATCGCTCGATGTCCGGGTTGTTTATTGGAAGGGAGACACGCCAACTCAAGGCTATTTGCTCTCCAATAAGATTCTCAGCTGAAAGACGAGCTGAGAGTCCAAGCCTCCAGTCTGATTCTTTCTGTAGCCAGGACATCTGAGTGAGGACGGAGCTTCGCTCCTCTATGCTGCATTCATCCAAGCCATCGATGAGTAGATACCTTAGACGACCGTCGCGCCTAGGTTTCATCAAAGCTGAAAGCTCTTCCAAATCGAGCGTCGGCACGTCTTCCTTGAAAGCTGCATGGTTCTCTGGGAAATGTGATAAGTACTGGCGTGCCAGGCTTCCCAAGATGGTGCGAGATATAAGGCTTTTTGGGATATCGTGGCGGCAAAAAAAGTACACGACAATCGTATCTCCTGACAAATACAAGTCGTCGATGATGTTAGCCAAGGTTACTGACTTTCCGGCACCGACCTTTCCACTGAAAAGAATAGCTGATGGCATTTCCCCTTTGTGTTTCCATCGTTGATATTCAGGCCAGGTTGGTAGCAGTGATGTAGAGCCTCGTTTTCGAATCTGTTTCCAGGTGGTCTGGAAGTCGTACTTGGAACAAGCGTCCAACCATCGCACCTTGCGCTCAATACGCTCAATACGCTCAAGAGCCTGTTGTCGCTGTGTAGACGATATTGACCACTTGCTCACCAACGCACGAGCCTTCTCGTTTTCTTGGGATTCGTTTTGAAGTTTTTGGTTCAGAAGTAACATCGCCTCGTCCTTGATGGAATTTCCCCAGGCCTCAAGGTCCGACTGGTACTCCTTCAGGTCTGCGTCGTTCAATGATGACTTCAACTGGCCAAAAGCCGATTTCTTTCCGTATTGCTGTATCTTCTGACATATGTGAACGATGACTATGAAGTACTCAAACAAGTTGTTTTGTAAATCCTTCGAGTGGGGATAAATGATAGCCAAGGCTTGGTATCGAGGGGCTTGACGCCCGGCAGTCATGAAGAGCAGTGACAACTTCTCCAGGTAGGAGGCGTATCCGATCGCCATCTACACCATTCATGCGAATTAGCGGAACGTCCAGTAGCAACACTGTTTTAGGGAAGGGAAACTGACATGTAGCATCATCCTGACCGCCGACCACACTCCACAGGCCACTATGTTTTGCGATCCGCCAACCACGGTATCACCCAGCGCGGCAAACTGCTGGACCGCTTGGAGTATATTCGTTAAACGGGGGCCGAAACAGCGAGACGGTCCATGTTCTCGTCGTACACGGGAATCAATCTCGGCCGTCAGTCTCATAACATCGCTCGGAGTCGGTGGTGTTTTTGTTGCGACAGCTCGCGCGTTCCGGAAGGCTGCTTTGTGTTCCGCATTGAGATTCGTTTCAAATTCCGAGAGAGCCTGGGCTAAGCGGATCTCTGGCTTCAGCGGAGCGGCGTTTCGAACAACGAGCGCCATCTTCTCGACGTCAATTGTGGGTGCGGATGAAGCGTTTTGGCGCCCAGCCGGACCTGAAGGAAATCAGGCTGCACCCGAGATTCCAACAGAGATGACGCAGTCTGACATGCATAAACGTAAGGACGGAAGTGTCGACACTACTTCCGCCACAAATAAGGCTGACCGTGTTTGATTGGTTAAAACACCATTTGCATCTAGCACCAATGATGTTGCTCTTACTCTCGTTCTCAGGCCGAATGGGGGTTTCACAGCTCGTCAAATGCAAGGCATCAATGATGGAACGAACACTGCACGCAAAGATTTAATACATTGTAGAAAGGGTTGCAAAAAGCAACAGATTGAAGAATACAAGCATGCAGGCGCATGAATCGTTTTCTAAGAGATGCTTATGTACATGATTTCCAATATCAACAGCAGAACCATCTCGAAGTGGGACGAGATAATCAGTAATTGTACAAGTCTAGTTTGACAGTATCCCAAACGACCTCTTTACGCGGCCGTGGGAGCGTAGGCAAAGAACTCCTTGACAGCGACACCGGCATATGTGCTGCTGCCAGACGCAGTCAGGACAGCTCTCAGCGCAGTCGTAGAAACCTTGGTGAACTTGACCTCGGCAGGCGTGTCAGTGACATCCGTAGGGTACGAAGTCGCGTCGACAGCCTTCCACGCGGTGCCGTCCTTGTACTCGAGCTTCCACGAGGCAGGCGGCGCAACACCGACGGAGGATCCGGCAGCCTGGTCCGCGAAGAAGGCCATGGCGGCGCCGTTGAGCTCTTGGGTGGCGTTCCAGGTGAGGGTCAGGGTGCTCTCCTTGGGGGACTGCTCGGCGTTGTAGGAGGACCAGTAGTCGGGCGGGAGGGGCGCCTCCTCGACGCGCTCGTCGTTGATGGCCTTGATCCAGTACTGGATGGGGGTCTCGCCCTCGGAGGCGGCGACGGCCTTGGGGGCGACGTTGCGGGTGGGCTCCTTGGCGGCGGCGGCGCGCTTGGTCTGCACGACCTTGTTGATGGCGGGGGGCTTGGCGGAGTCGTCCCAGGTGAGCTTGTCGATGGCGATGGAGCGGCGGAAGTGCGTGCCGCCCTCGGCATCGCGGGTGTGGTAGACCAGGCCCCACTCACCGTTGCTCAACTTGTAGGCACCCGGGTGGGAAGTGGTGGAGGAGACGATATCGAGGAAGACACCCTGGAAGGTCCAAGGGCCGAGAGGGCTAGAGGCGGTACCATAGGCCAGGCAGGCGTGGTAGCTGGTTGGGGTGCAGGGAGAGTCGGCGCCGGCGTTGTTGGCGGCGTAGAGCATGTAGTAGGTGTCGTCGCGCTTCATGAGCCAGGGGGCCTCGAAGAAGCCGGTCAGAGAGTCCACATCGACAACATCACCCTTGATGGTGATCATGTCCTTGTCGAGCTCATAGCCCTTGAGGTAGCCGAAGGTGCCGAAGTAGATGTAGACCTTGCCGTCGGTGTCGACCATGACGGTGGGGTCGATGTTCTGGATGTCGTTGCCGGGGGACGGGACGGTCTGGGAGATGATGGGGCCGGAGGGGTGAGCGTCCTTGAAGGGGCCAAGGGGGCTGTCGGAGACGGCCACACCGATGGCGAAGGGGTCCTTGGCGCTGCTGCTCGCCTGGGTCACGGGCGCATACATGTAGAACTTGCCGTCGGCGCCCTGGACGATCTGGCTGGCGTACGCAGTGCCGGCGCTGGCCCAGGAGAAGATGGCCTCGGGCTGGGCGACGTCCTGGTGCAGAGTCCAGTCTCCGCCGGCGGGGTCCGGGTTCTTGGCCTCGAAGATCTGCCACTCGTTCATGACGAAGCCGTTCTCGGTCGGGCCCGCGGCGTCCCGGCCGGAGAGGATGTAGAGGGTGTCATTGACGATGAGCGGCGCCGGGTCGGCGGAGTAGATGGAGCCATCGGCCAGGATGGGGTTGCCGGTGGACGTGAAAGTCTTGGAGGTTGCCTGTCGGCGGACAGGGATGACGCCTGCATGCAGGGGCTGAGCCAGCAGCGAAGTAGCGAGACAAGCCCGCAACAAGTTGGAGAGCATTCTGAGAAATGATCGGAGAAAAAAGAATGACTGAATACACACAAAAGAAGGACGGTTGAAAGAACGAACAAGCTCACTGAGTTGACTTGGAACTCGAGTTGGCACTAAGGTCGGGGAATTCTTCCAAAGGGCTGAGTGTCAGGTTTTAAAGAGACTTAACTGGATTAACCTTAGGAGGTGCATCCACTTTTCCTCATCCCTGAATTTCGTTCGTGATACGAATAAATTGACAATTGCACCAGATCAGCCAACAGGGGGCAAATCATCACTAATTGTGACGGCGTCTAGCCACTTAAACTGGGGTAGCCATGAGACTCGGTTGCGTTAAACGACCTGCCCAAAGCAACTAAACGGAGCAACCCGGCTCAACTCAGCCATAAGTCAGCGACCTTTTGCTGCCCGTTCTCATCCCCTTTGAATGTATTTCAACTCCGCCCTACTCTCAAGTACTATAAATGCGTTTTGCGCAATACGAGGTTGCCCCTCCAAGACTAGGACGAACTATCCGTGGATTTTGATTTCCCCGGTGGGAGGACCGGGGCGTATCATTGCGACTCTTTTTACTTGCGATCCAATCACGTTGCACAGAGACCGACACCGAAGGGTTGCATCGCACGGGGGGTGGGCTGGTGTACCCCGCGTTTGCTGCCCATTCCGTGCATGAGAACAGGACGCCAGGCTTGATGGGATGGTTAGTTGACGGTTCGCTTGAGGGCATCGCGTAGTTGACCCTCGTTGGCCGGGTAGATTGTGGTCGCGATGCACAAAACTCGGATCATCCGCCCGATCCATGGTTGCATTCGGTTGCCTGGCCCGAACCAAGAAACAAGCAATGTGAGTCTTGAAGCGAAAATTCACCATCACTTTGCTTGATGTTTCCTCAATTGACTAAAGAAGCGATGGAATCTGTTCCGCCGAGGCGTGGGATTCATCGGGAACGACACCGGGTTCAATGTAGCATCGCCCAACTGCAGGAACGTGGATCGGTCATAGTCTATGGCGTTTCTAGAATGTCCTTCAGAGTCGAATGGTATGGTGCCATCAATAGTGTGATCAGAAATCGAATCGGAAAGTCTATATAATCGTGATGATCCGTTGGCGTTCGTAGCCAGAGTCTAGCACTTCAAACAAGGCAGAGAGCAATTCAGCTCAGCTCAAGTCATCGTGGTTTCCGCCATGAAGTTCACCTTTGTGCTCGCCAGCCTGGTGGCGACCGTCTTCTGCCAGGACAACTTGGGGCTAAGCAACGGTTACATCACCCTCACAACCGCAAACTTCAACCTCCAGCTCGTCCGCAACGCCCAAGTTCTCGCTTCCCTGAAACCCGCGGGCGACACCTTTGATTTCCTCCCCTTCGACTACCTCTCTAAGCGTGCACGCAACGGCCAGTACCACTGGGGCGATATCACTTTCCGCTACCGCCAATCCGGCGCCACAGCATGGACCGACGGCAACTCCGCATCGGCCCGGCAAACGGTCACGGCCCTCACCGCGGGGTCCGGGGTCCTCGCCTCCTCTCGTCTCGGCCCCACTCTGCCAACCGGGCCGCTGAACATCACCCGCGAGTGGCTTGACGTCTCCGGCGACCTCGGCCTGCGCTTCACAATACAGAACTCGGGCTCCTCCGCCGTCGAAATAGGCAGCCTGGGCTTTCCGGCCGAGTTCAACTCCATCTTCACAAACCGCCTCGCCACAGACATGCAACGCCTGTGCTCCCTCTCAGACCCCTACATCGGCATGCACGCCGGCCAAATTCGCGTTGCCCCGATCCGCGGGACCGGCGCTGCCCTTGTCGTCACTCCGCTTGGAGACACGCCCCTGGAGGCGTACCGCAACCTCCCCGAGACGTACTACTCCGACACAGCCTACGGCAGCCAGACGTTTGAAGGCTTCTACGAGTGGCAGACCCTCACCAAAGCCTGGGCTGAGAATGAATGGCGCGCACAAACACCCTGGAACACACCCTCTTCAAAGACTCTTCAGCCCGGTCAGTCTCTCCAGTTCGGCGTCCGCTTCTCCGTCGCAAAGTCTGGCGTGCGCGGACTCGACGCCGCGGTTCGGGGCACCAATACTCCCACCGCCGTCGGCGTGCCTGGCTACATCATTCCCCGCGGCGAGCCAGCTCAACTCTTCCTGCAATCCCAAACCGCCGTCAAGTCCCTCGTCTCAGAACCCGCCGGCGCACTTACCGTGACTCTTGTCTCATCTGGTAAATACACCGTCACCCCCTCCGCCTCCGCCTGGGGCCGTGTCCGCCTGACCATAACCTACGCCGACAACAAGATCCAAACCGTCCATTACTACGTCACCAAGCCCTCCACCGAAGCCGTCGCAAGCCTCGGCCGCTTCCTCACGACCTCGCAATGGTTCAACGACACATCCGACCCCTTCGGCCGCTCGTCCTCCGTCATGACGTACGACTACGAGACAAAGTCCATCGTGACGCAAGACTCGCGCGCCTGGGTCGCCGGGCTCAGTGACGAAGCCGGCGCGGGCTCGTACCTCTCCGCGTTCATGAAGCAAGCCATCCAGCCGGCCGCAGACGAGGTGACCAAGCTTGAGCAGTTCGTTGACAACGTGCTTTGGAAGACGATCCAGACGACCGACTTTGGCGTCCGCAAGAGCATTTTCTTCTACGAGCCCGCGGCTGTGCCGAATTACAGGTACAGCACAAGCATCGACTGGACTTCGTGGACGTCGTGGAACAAGGCGGCTGCGTATGCTATTGATCGAGCGTATAACTATGTGCACGTCGCCGGCGCGTATTGGTCCCTGTACCGAGTCGCGCGGGCGTACCCGGCGCTGGTGAAGAGCCATACGTGGGATTGGTATCTGAACCAGGCGTACAGCACGGTCATCAGGGGTATGAGGAACGATGTTGGGTACAACCGCGTTGGGCTGATGGGGGAGACGGTGTTTGGGGAGATTTTGACGGATTTGATCCGCGAGGGGCAAACCACGAAAGCGAATACTCTGTCGACGAGCATGCGGTCGAGGGCGGCGCAGTGGGATACAGAAGAGGTGCCGTTTGGAAGCGAGATGGCTTGGGATTCGACTGGTCAGGAGGGGGTTTACTACTGGGCCAAGTGAGTTTTGATGTTCGTGATGATGATACTTGAATATGCTGACTTGGGGTTCGCAGATACTTTGGTTTCACGAACACCGCTACGAAGTCAGTCAACAGTGTGCTGGGTTTCATGCAGACCCTTCCTCACTGGGGCTGGAATGGAAATGCCCGTCGATACTGGGACAACATGTGAGTCTTGCTATTTCATATATTACGAACTCTCCCCTCCGTGAATGCTCCGAGGGTCATTTTTCAGTCCTTTCTTTGCACTCGTCGCACATACCCAATACCCATTACCCGCATCCATGGGTATCCATCCATATCCAACTCACAAACCCACGGATATTCAAAACGACTACCCATTACCCATGGATATCCAGATCCATACCCATAACCCAGATCGTACCCGGTCCCATGGGTATCCATGATGATTACCCATTACCCATTACCCATCTTCGCGGATATCCATAATCATACCTATACCCAAAACCACCTTGCACCCGGTTAATCTTACTGGAAAGAGCACTACCTTAGACCAAGTGCTTTAACTGCTTTTCCCTTACTGAACAACTCCTTATTGGTTAGACTGGGAAGTCCCTCAACATACCTACTTACTCAAATCATACCCATACCCATACTCATGGATATCCATCATTTCCCACTACCCATGACCCATATGGTTGTTCATATGGATACCCAAAACCAAACCAACCCGTACCCATGGGTATCCATTTCCATAGAATCCATACCCACGGATACCTACTACCCAACCAATACCCATAACCATACCCAAGGATACCCATATCTAACTCCAACCTATACCCAAACCCGTGGATACCCATCCACTCCCCACACCCATCCCAACCTCCCAACTAACACCGCCAGCTACGGCGGCAAACTCCGGCGCATCGAGCGCCAAATCCACCACTACGGCTCCGCCCTCAACGCCCTCCCCCTCCTCTCCGCCTTCCGCTCCGCCCCGACCGACACCTACCTCCTGCGCACCGGCTACGCCGGCACCACCGGCCCGCTCTCCAACATCAACGCCGACGGCTTCGCCGCCGCCTCCTTCCACTCCTGGCCCGACACCCTCAAGTGGGACGGCATCAGCGGCGACTACGGCCCGGGCTTCCTCGGCCTCGCCCTCGGCTCCGGCACCTACGTCGTCCAGGACGCCGAGCTCGGCCTCGTCGCGTTCGGCGGGACGCTGACGTCCTCTGGGAGCAGTGTCAGCGTCGTGACGAAGGATGCGGTTAGGCGGAAGGTGTTTATTGGCCCGTTGGGGGTGTTGGTCAGCGTGGATGCGGGGATTATCAGGGAGGTCAAGTATGTGGCGGCGTCGAAGACGGTGGACGTCACGCTGGCCCAGCTGGATGGCGTGCCTAAAGCGGCGAATGCGGTTATTTGGGTTGAGGGTGGTGGGAGCTGGAAAGTCACCGGCTCGGGCGTCACGCAGGCGAGAGGGGGCTGGCAGGTTGCGCTCTCGGGGGACAGTGTTGTCGTCCAAGTTCTCCCTGCTTAAGCTCTTCGGGGTTGTCTCTATTTCTATTCCATGTACATATTCCACCACATCGATTCAATCACAAACCCGCATCTCATCAATGCCATCACAACTCCTTCTCCAACACTACAAAATACAAATCATCCCTCAACGCCTCGCCCCCCACCAGCTCCTTATACGGAAACTCCCTCCTCTCCCCCGTCCTCCTATACCCCCTCCTCTCATACCACGAAATCAGCTCCTCCCGCACCCAAATAACCCACATCTCAATCCTCCCGACCCCCCACTCCCTCCTCGCAAACTCCTCCGCATACCCCAACACCCTCCGCCCGACCCCGCCGGCCTGCCTCTCCGGATCAACCGCAAACAGCCCAAAATACGCCGTCCTCCCGTCCGGTTTGCGGAGCACCTCGCAGCACGAGAGCGGCGCGCCCGCGTCCCCGTCCGTGACCAGCAACACCACCCCGTCCGGGTGCGTGATCTTCGCCAACAGCCCCGCCTCGTCGATGCGCTGGTCCGCGACGAGGTCCGCCTCCGTCGTCCAGCCCTTGCGCGAGGAGAGCCCGCGGTAGGCGGAGCGGATGAGCGGGAGGAGGAGGGGGACGTCGGCGGGGGTGGCGGGGCGGAAGGAGAGTGGTGGTTGGGGGTGGGAGACTGTCATTATGTGTGGTGGCGGTTGTGTGGTTTTGGTGTTGCTGTTGAGCGGTTTGTCGTTGGGTGAGAAAAGACAGAGTTGGAGTTGCGGCGCGGTCTTGTGTCGCGATTGGACGGCTTTGAAACAACTCTCACGTTGGACAAAAAAAGTGATGACGATACAGTTAACGAACTTGACTTTAGACACTCGCAAATCTTAAATCTGGAAAACACCCAAGATCTTAAATAAACCCCCACCACACCGAATCACACCAGAATCCACAGGAACGATAAAGTCGCATCGCATCGCAAAAGCCCCATCCAGACCGAGTTCCACACATATCCCTCTCAGCTTTAACACAGCCCGACACACGGCCAGTTCTTCCCCAAAAACCCCTCCTCGCCGTAAGTATTTCTCACTAAGCCTGTTAAAATCCAGCAGCCCACTAAATCTGCCCGCCGGCGCCACCGCCAAAGACCCCCCACCGCGAGTCAATTAAGGGCGCGACACGGACGACACGAATGACATTTTCGACACGTTACCGCCCTGCCGGACGCCTGCCGGTGTCGTTCCGCCGAGGTTGGTCCCAATTTCCTCTCTTCGACCCGAGTCAAGTTCGGCGGTAAGTGGGCGCCCATCGAACACAGAAGAACAATGACGTGCCTGGTCTTTATCTCGACTTTCCTCATTCAGACTGGACAGGAAATTTACGCAGCCATGATTTGCTGCGTTCAGAAATTAAAAATGATGGACATTGAACAAGTGCCATTCAGCCCTTGAGTGACATGCCATCCACAGCAAACAAAAGAAACACCATAGTGTCCATCACATAGTCCAAAACAGAAGCAGCGTTAGGGGGAACAGGCTCACGCAAGCTCCGATATTTTCTAGATCGTGGGTATCACTACAACACGCTACACTCAAATACGATGCCACGCCATGCTCATGCTTCGCAATGCAATGCCAATGTTTCGTTTCAATGCTCTCTCCCTGATCCTGCGCCCCTTCCCATGAACCGAAGAAGGACAAGCTCTTCACTTTTTACCCTTGGGTTCGCGCACCTTCACACCCTGCACCGAATCCCACACGCTCGCGCTCACCTTGCGCGGAATCTTGCGCCCCCGCAACCGCTGGTCAATCAGCCACATGCCCACCACAAACTCCTGCTTGCTCAGCATCCCGCGGCCGCTGCGGTCGACCAGGTCCCACACCTCGGCGAGCTCCTCCGCCGGCAGCCGCGACCGCCGCCAGATCTCGCGCGCCACAATGTTGGCCACGCAGTCGGCCGCGTCCTGCGGCGGCGGCAGGACAGCATCTGACTGCAGCGCCTGTGGGAGGAAAGGAGTTAGCAGCAGAGTGCCGCGGTTGCTCGCCCAGACGGCCTCGTACCGGCGTTTCTCGCGCTCGGTGATCTCGTCGCGCCAGCGGCGGCGGGCACCCTCGGCATGGGAGTGCTTGTTGCTAGCCTTTTGATGCTTCTTCTTGCGGATCTCGTCCTCGTCGTCGGACTTTGAGGGCGGCTGGCGGAGGGTCTGCCGAAGCCGCGGGGACTTTGTCCGGTTTGGGAGGGCAGGCGGGGAGAGGGTCGAGTTGCCTGTGTTAGAGGGCGTGAGGCGAGCTGCGGCGAGGGATCCGGCCATGATGGCGTTGGAGAGGGAGTTCAGGGGCAGGCTCGTTGTAGATGATGCCGGCGTGCGGCGAGGAGTTGCGCGGGTGGGCGAGCTGTTGACGGACGAGCGGCTCGGCGTGCTAAGCGCCGAGTGCGTCTGGAGGTTTGGCTGTCTCACGGGGGTCGCATCGGGTACGGCCGTCAAGCCGGAAGACGCTGACACGAAGGTATCGTTAGATGAGCTCGTGTCAGCAGTCGATGGCCTGGTCGCGGAAGTCGGACGTGAAATCTCCTGCAGTGGGAGGCCGTGGCCGTAGACTGATGCCATGCTCCTGGGCTTCCTCAACAGTGGCGCTTCCGGCTCCTTCGCTTTTGAAGCTGTACCGCGGGGTTGAGGCGGCGTAGGCGGCCGGATCTTTGCTTTTGACGCTGGCCGCTTAGGTTGAGGAGAGACAATTTCTGTCTGGACCTTGCTAACCGTCGGTGGTGAGCTCGGGGCTGCCTGCTTTGCCTTTGTCGTGCGTGACCTTCGTGGCTCAGGTGCAACGGGAGGCTCTTTCGAGTCTGGTCTCGTAGGCTGGACGGAGGCTGCCTTGGCCAGAGACGGCATCGACCGCTTCTCCACGACCTCAGCAGCAGGCTGCAACCCCACAGGTGGCTTCCTCTTCTGCACCACCTGCTCCGACTCAGTCCTCCTGTGCGGCGACCTCTTCGCCGGCGAACCAGGCTGTTTCGACGGTTTCGCAACCGGCTTCTTCACTCCCGCATCTGACATCGTCCTCTGAAGAGCCGGCGTAGGCGTAATCGGCCTCGGCTTAGGCTTCGTAACCGGCTTCTGGCTCTTCGGCGTAACAGCCTCCACCTCCCTCTCCACCGGCGTAGGCGTGATCGGCCTCGTCTTAACCTTCGGCTTCGGCTTCACCACCACCGGCCTCTCCTCAATCCCCATTCTCGCCGCCTTCGCTCGCGCAGGGCTCATCTCCCTCTCGGGCGTCATCGTCCTCACCGCAGGTCTCCTCCTGCTGTCCCCGCCGCTCTTCTTCACTGGGTCGACGTCCTCGCTCCGCTCAAACATGGTAATCAGGTGTCCAGTGGCCGGTATGGACGTGGTATCAGGCAGCCCCATCATCCCCTCCTCCTCGTCGAGGCTATCCCTCCGGCTGCGCAGGCTCCGCGCGCTCTGCATCTGATGCAGCTGGTTCACCTGCGCGGGCGTCAGCGCGGACGGGCTCGGGTGCGGCTGCGGGCTAGGCGAGGCGCTGCGCGAGGCGGCCAGGGCGGCGGCGATGTAGCTCGGGCTCTTGGGGTCGAGCTTCGTGTGCGGCGTCAGGTGGGATGCCGTCGGGGCGGCGGCGGGGCTGCTCGCGAGGAAGGAGGACAGGCGGTCGCGCATGTCGGCGGTGCCGTCGCGGCCGAAGGTTGTGCTCGTCGCGACGCTCGTGCCGGTGTGCTGGCGCTGGATCGGGCTCGTGCTCCGGCTACGGTCAGCGGCGGCGGTTGCTGCGAGGGCCGGAGCAAGGCTGCCCCCGCGGACGCCGATGTTGGTGGTCGGTTTCGGGGGCGGGACGGGCTTGGGCTTGGTCTTGCTGAAGGCGAGGTTTGCGCCCTTCAACGCCGCGGCAGCGTCGGAGGCGCCGCCGCCCGTGTGGTGGTGGAGGCTCTGCTGTGTGTTCGTCATCATGCCGGTTGACGGCCGCGGGGTGGGATGGTGGTAGGTGGTGGGAGGAGTGTCGGCATTGGATTCGGAGGGGCTTTGGTTTATGCGGTCGACGATGGTTGGAGCATTACGTAGGAGTTGTCGGTATTTCGAGGGAGAAACGGTCGCGATGCCCTCCCTCGTCTGCGATGTAGATGCAGCTATGTGTGTTTCTCGAGGGCAGAGTCGAAGGAAGGGACGAGGTGTCGTTTGTTTGATGCAGGTAGGTCAATAGGCAGACGATACGAGGAGGTGTCAGGGGGAGGGAGACGGAGACGGAGTGCGTGGTGTGTGTGAGTGTGGTCGTATTGGATCCGCCTGCGCCGCAGAAGTGGAAATACCTAGGCAGGTACTCGGGCTGTAGCTGATTATTGATTATCCACCTTCACCCACGCAAATAGCAGCTGCCTACCGCACTCTCCACGTCTGCTGCTTCTGCTGCTGAGTGAGCTCCAGCTTTCTGCCTTTCTGCCCGTGCGGAGAAGGTCGTCGGATGGGATGATTGGGGGAAGCGGCGGCGCATTCAGATGAACGGGTGGCCCGGTGACCTTTCGCAGGCAGTGGAATGGATGTTCCTTCCAGGTCTCTCCCTCTGCAGCAAGCTCCGGCATTCCACTGCCAACTGCAGCACCTGTAAGGCTGAGACACGGCGCCGCTCTTGACAACCGACAGCTGCCTGTGTTCATGACCTTACAGGGGGCATGTTCCCATCCTGACACAGTGACGCAAAGAATAATATATGGGGAACTGAATTTGGCGGAGAGCCGAGGAACCGCCAGGGAAACACACAACCACCACCGAAGATCTCGACATCACCGGCGTCGTCATAGCGGATCTGCTGGAAATCTGCCCTGACTAGACCACCACCCCGTCACGCTGCCGGCGGGCTAATAAAGCCTAGGTTTCCGTTCATTCCATTCATTCGGAGATTCTGTCAAGTTTTAGCTCCCGTCTTACCGGGCCTCCCGCCCATCGCCTCTCACTCACCACATAACCCGGCATCTTCGGCATTTATCATTATCATCACCAGACCAAACACACGCAAAAGTCATGATAAATCAGCGATGCACGCATCACCCCTT